TTAAACTTAGATCAGTACTAAAAATCCTCGAAGAGTACTGTAACATCAACGGTCTTACGGTAAATACCAGCAAAACTAAAATTATGGCCTGCAGACCTTCTGGTAGGCTCAGGAAGGAGGATCGTAAGTTTACTTACAAAGGAGAGCCAATTGAAATAGTAAAATCCTACACGTACCTTGGTGTTCCTTTCTTAAATAACCTGCAAGGTAACTTAGCCACCTTAGAAGCTGTGAGAAAAGGCAACCTGGCTGTAGGGACAGTTTACTCTATTCTAGCTCATCTTAAAGTAGAGTCTTGGACAAATAAATTTTTTTGTCGAAAACTATCCAATGCGGATAATTCCCGTAATTGTTTTTTAAAAATATGATGAAGTTGGGCTTAGGAAATTAAATAATAATACTTGGGTTTTTTGGGGAACAATTTAGAAGAATTTATTTGTCCCCAAAGGAGGGAAACCCAGCTAGGCTGGGAAAAACCTCCTTGATGAAATTATACGAGTAAATTGTATGTGTGTAAGTGTGTGTGTGTAAATTACGTTGCAATAACGCAATAGGGGTGAGCTCAGTCGCCTTAGATAGAAAATTATCGATAATTTGAATTAGATAAGTCCCAAGGTGGGAGCTGGTAATATCTAATTAATTTGAACTGTCTCAGAGTGAGAGCTATTAATGTTCAATTGTCTCTAGGTGAGAGCTAATAATATTCGATTGATAACAGAATGTTAGTCAATTGAGTTTGATGTTTATCGTGTAGAAATTAGTCAGATGATTTGAAATTTGAATTTAATTATTTATAAGTTAAATTAAATAAGATCGTAATTAAATGTTAATAATTAATTCAAGTTAAATGAAATAAGATCGTAATTAAATGTTAATAATTAATTCAATGTAATTAATAGTAAATATCACGCGTCAATTATGGATTGACTAAAGCCGCGTGGCTGATGCAATCCTTTGTCACGATGGCGCGTAATGGCCGCGTGGCGTCACTAAATAAATTTACTTGATTTTATTTATGTTAATTCACTGAACTATTAAACTGATTTAAATGAATTGAGAATTTAAAGTATAATTGAATCTACTATAATTATTTATATTTAATGAATAATTTAAATATTTGAATGAATGTGAGATGCAAGTAAGAATTATCAAATTGATTAGCACAGAGTAGTCGTACTAGTACAGAAGTCCAAGCACAACTGTTGCAGCAGACCACGCGAGCCGGCTTCTCTACCGCTAACCAAGGCGCGCATGAGCGACGGCCATAGCGTGATACGATTATTCCCGAGTTTTAACGATTAAGCCCGAAGGCGTAATTTCTCTTATAAGTATTTGACTAGATCTCTTTTCTAGCGGTTAAACAATAACTTTACTAAAATTGATATCACAAATTTCTCTAATTTCTTTTAAAAAACGTTTTACAAAAAAAGTTTTTCCACATCCTGTTGGTCCGCAAATGATTGAAGTAAATGGATGTTTCCACCTTGGATCAAGTAAAAATTACTTGACTCAAGATGACTTTTTTTTCTGTATAAAAGTACTTCTACCCTTCATACTTTACAAAAAGATGTCCTCCCCTTTTTTTTGTTTATTGTTAATAATTTATACAATTACGGCAAGCGGAACTTTTTTTTTTTTTCAAAAATCATGTAGACCCCATTCCGAATCAAATGATACCTCAATAATAATTTTTGGAGATTGCTGAAAAAATTTGACCAAAATCGAACTTGTTGACTATACTATAGGGTCGTGTGACCTTTACGGAGCGAGTGGTAGAGAGTACTGAACCCCTTTATTCGGCCATATTCGGCTGGCTAGTTCAGTGTTTCACAGTCTTACGGCTTCTTTCGTTTTTCCAGCACACCGACCGACAGTATAGTATTTACGTTGTTTCCGAGGCGTGTGAGATTTTACTGAGCACTACCAAGAGATAATTTTTTTAATTTGGCTGTATAGCACAAGGTCAAATTGTATAGATAGTTTTGATTGAAACAGTGAATATTATCATTTGAAACAAATATTAAGCACGTAAGTACACAATCAATTTTAATTTTTTAAATGTAAAAGTAATTTCACATAAACGTTGTCATTTAAAGGTTATGAACCACGTGTTTATCTGTAGCAACATAAATAATAAGAATTAATATTTCTCATAGTTACATTAAAAACCATACTATTCAAAGTTTGGTATATTTATCAATTTTTATTTTTAAATTCCGAAAATTATGGTGTAAAAATAATAAAAAAGTTATTTTTGCTAATCAGCTGAGCGATAGTTAGTTATAGTGTGTTGGATTCGGCACGCACGTAAATATTTTGGCAATGGTGGTTCTAATAAATGCAATTCATTTCATCATGATAAACTATTAATTTTAGTGAATAATAATTAACATCAGAATTTTACCATTTCAAGTCAAAAATAATATTTTAAAATACCGGCAATTTCTTCCTATTTAAGAATGTTCTTTAAAACGGCTTGAGTACTTACATCTTCAGAGTTATTATCAAAAACCTGTATGCATCAATTTTTTTTATCCAAGATGATCACAGTTTTGTACATGCGATCAAAACCTTGAGATAAAAATTTCTATAGATCATGTCGAGTGTAATGAAGAATCCCTCGTAATTTTAGCTTTGTTTTTATTTTTAATGTTTTTAACTTATTTACTTCTCAATGAATTGAAAAAAAAAATTTTTAAATATTGCCTCATCTGTTATATATGAGAATAAAATTTAATGCAGATTCCATCATTTATAGGTTTTGAAAATGGCAGAGACACCACCAAAGCGTTATAAACTTTACTTAGAACGTGATTATGATCCTGCTATGGTGAGCGAAATTACAAAGAAACGATGGAGTGAAAGGACTATTTCATTTTCAAGAGAAGTTCATGAATACAGACGAAAACGTAAGTATATGAGTATAAAGTGATCACAATATTTTCAAGTCCTTGAAAGTCAAACAAAAATAATAATTACTTGGCGATTTACCGAAAACATTTTTGTTAAAAAAATCAGATAAACTTGTAGTCTAAAATTACGTCAAATATCGCGTTACAGATGTCGTACGGACATACAAAAATTCTATTATTTTTATTAAGTCCAAGAAAATTTCAAGTTTGAAGAAATTTTTTTTTGCATTTCTGCACGTTTCATACAAAAATGCGTCGATTCCCGAAAAAAAAATTTTTATACGTCCTTGTGGCTCTCGGCACCTACCATAGATGCCATAACGGCGTGTACAAAAAATTTTTTTTTGGCCACCGACGTATTTTTGTATGAAACGTGTAGAGATGCAAAAAAAAATTTTTTTTGGACATAGTTTCGTCCGAGAAATACAGAAATCCCAAAAAAAATTTATACTACTTATAGTAAAAATTCAATTATATGGAAAATTTTTTTTGCATTTTTGTACATTTTAAACGAAACTACGTTGATTCCCGAAAAAAAAATTTTTCTACGCCCTTATGCTTTTCATCGGGACCTTTTGCCGGTATACACCCTAATGGCATCTGGAACGCGATAAAATTTTAAAAATTTTTTTTTTTTTTTTTTTTTTGAAAAAATGTAAAATGTTTTATTTTTGTAAAACTCAATAACAAAACTTTCACAATTCTGTTGTAGATAAAACTAGCGGTCCATTGAATATTTTCGATATTACGAATTCAATGAAGTCTTCGATTGTCGACGGAAAACATATAACAAGCAATGTCGCTGGTGTAGACAACTGCAGAGGTATGGAACTCGAGAACCGAAGTGATTCGTCTACCAAGTGCGAACAAACGAATCTTCATCTGCAAAATGAAGATATGTCAACTGACACCCAAACAATGACTACGGAAATTGAAAACAATACGTTCCAACCAAAAAAACATACTGAATCTCTGAAACTTTCTTTGGACGGTTACGATCGGATCATGTTTAAAGAATCTAAAACGAGTATTAATGATGTTATCACAATGATAACTGGTTTTACGTTGAGATTTGGCTTATGTAATAAAGGAAGAACGCAATTAATGGAAATGTTCAAATTATGCGCGGGATCTCAATATGATAACGTCTCAATATCTGATCATCAATATAATAAAATATTTGAGATTCCTGAAGATAAAATGATAGCTCATTATTTTTGTGCAAAATGTACAAGGATAATTTATATATCGCCAAAGAAATCAATCAAAGATTCTGAAGTCATTTGTGATCAATGTGAAGAAAAAATTCGATTAAACTCTCTCAATGAAAATTATTTTTTATCAATTAATGTTGAGTATCAATTAAAAGAACTTTTAAAATTAAAAAAACATTTATTCTGCAATCGGTGAAAGTTTCAATAATAAATACGGTGACAACTCTCAAATTACAGACATTACGGATTCAGAATTATTTGTAAACTTTGCGAATAACAATGAAAAAATCATTTACTTAAATGTCAGCACTGATGGAGCACCAATATTTAGAAAATCAAAAAGGAGCATGTGGCCTTTACAAATACTTGTCAACAATTTGCCGCCTAGACTAAGATTCAAAAATGTCATTATTGCAGGGTTTATGATAGTTAAACATGAACCTACTCCAGAATTAATGAATTTGTACATGGAAAGTTTTATTAAACAAATTGAAAACCTTAACAGTAAAGGGTTCAATGTAGTTGACAATAATATCGAAAGAAATCAAACGAAAATCAAAATTGCAGTTTCTAATTTCTCTACGGACTCAGTTGCTCGTGCATTATGTCAAAACAGAGTGAAGCATAGTGGATACTTTGCTTGCAGCTATTGTTATATAATGGGAGAAACATCTGATGGAGCAAGACATTTCCCATTCAGTGCATCAATTGAAGAATTAAGAACGCATGGTTCACATATGAAAGATGTTGCAAAGTGCATTGAGAAGAGGCCAAAACTGGGATGTCGCGGCGTAAAAGGACCATCAGCATTATCATCTTTGCCGAATTTCGATATGGTTTGGAGTTTTCCGTTCGACAGTATGCATACTTGGGATTTAGGAGTAACAAAATTTTTGTGGGAATTGATACTAAAAGGCTTAAACAAAGACGAAAGATTAAGACTAGATGAAATGATAAATAATCTCAAACCACCTCGCACAGTTGGGACTCTTCCAAAAAAGTTTACTGACTTTAATAATTTTAAAGCTAAGGATTTTAATGCTTTATTATTATTTTATAGTATACCTATCGGATTGGATATATTTTGTGATGACATAATTTATCTACTTGCACTGTTGTCAAAAAGTTTGTTCATTTTATTACAGCACGAAATATCTGAAGATGAATTGATTGAGTGTGAAAGGATATTGATAATATTTGTTGGTAGTTTTCAAAAATTTTTTGGGGAATCAAAAATGAGGTTTAACGTCCATTTATTGTTACATGCAGTTGATTCAGTACGTAAAAGTGGTCCATTATGGGCCAATTATACATATCCTCATGAAGGTAATATTCATTTTTTAAAAATGCTTGTAAATGGTGCCAAAGGTGTTGATCTTCAAATAATTAAAAAATCAATAACTATTACCAAATTTAAATCAGAATTTTACGATAATAATAGAATTACAAATGAAAAAGTAAATATTTACTGTAAAAATCTTTTTTCTAACTCTAAAGAACCATTGACTGGAAATTTGCACAATGGTGTTCTTTATAATGAATCTGACAATGTAAAATTTGATTCTACTTCAAATAGAAAATATTACGATAAATGCGTTTATAATAAGATTATCTATAGTACAATGTTTTATAATAAAACTAATAAGTGGGATGATAGCTATATACAACTAAAATCTGGTGAATTTGCTCGAATTCTACAAATATTTTCGAGAGAAAATGAAAATTTAATAAGTATTAAAATAATAGATGCCAAGCAATTAAATATAGATGGTGTTGTAATGACTCGCGTATGGAAAATTGAAGCAAAACAAAATACAGTTATTACAACATCTTTAGAAAATGTACTTCGTAAAGTTATTTATATTAAAGGCGAAAATTTTGATTTTATAACTGTACAGCCTAGTAACTATCACAATAACTAAAAGAATAAAAATTTTAAATTGTATATATAATTTTGTATGTTGAATTAATTTATGTAAATAATTTAACAAAAATTTGATTTTTCACTTTTCTATTATTCGAAAGAACTGTAATTAAAATTTTTTTATAATTGAGTAATGTATAATTAAAATTTAATGAGTAATTAACATTTATTATAATTGTATAATTCATGATTTAAATATTTTAAGTTTTTATTATACTTATGTTAAAATTTTTTTAAAAAATGTATGTAAAATAAAAGAACTTCACAATAAATTTTATATTTGTACTTACTAGCAATAATATTTCTACTTTAATTCCACTTTTGTTATTTAAACGTATTTCTGACATCAATTTTTTTAGAATATGTTCAACGCTTAAATTATTTTTAATTAAAATTATTAAAAATGATATTGATGAACAATTATAATTAAGTTATTCTTGGTTTTTTTTTAATTTCTATTTAAAATTTTTCAATTGCTATAAAATATGAGATATTCAAAAACTTTTTTAAATTTAGATCATTCATAATTTGAATTCATGAAATACACAGAGATAAATAGAAATCGTGGAGTTAGCAGTCGATAAAGAAGAATATTTCAAAGTTGGTAAAAAAATTTTTTTTTCAGTCGTTACCAACGAGTCGAATAGAATCGAATTGAAACAAATAGAAAAACTGGCGTTTCAAAAGTTGGATTGAATCGAATAGAATCGAATAGAACTTTCTATTCGATTCTATTCGATCCCGTTTGTTGGGAAATTCATGATCTAGAAAGAACTTGGTTTCGGAAAAAAATTATTTTATTGCATTAAAACGCATTTGTTAAGTAACAATGTTTTTATGCACACTGATAGAAGGATTTGTCTATAGTTAAAAATATTTGTTAATATTTAACAAATCATTTATAAAAGACCACTTTTTAGTCTTTAAAAAATATTTCTTAGTATTCAAAAAGATTTATTAATATTTAATAAATGAATATCAAATTTGTTAAATATAAACAAATTATTTTAAATACTAAGAAATATTTATTTAATACTAAAAAGCGGTCTCTAATAAATGATTTGTTAACTATTAACAAATATTATCTAATACAAATAAATCCTTCTATCTGTGCAGGTTAATATTGATATTGAGGAACATTTTTTTGTTAAAATTATAATTCATATTGTAAAAAAAATTTCTATAAACTAAATTTTCATTTGTTTATTTAATCACCAAGTTTTTTTTTTGCTACTTTATTTTTATTGTTAAAAAATAACTCGGTAAAAACCGTGTTTTTTTCTGGTATTAAATTTTTTCTTCTCGTTTTAATTTTCATTCGCAATTAATTTCTAATTTTTGTTATCAATATAGCTTACACACTATTGAAGATAGAGCGAGCACATCGAGAATGTTTCATTATTTAGTAACTAATTAACTAATTAAGCTTTAAATCGAAGCTATAACTCGATTATTAATTAAAGTTCCTGCTACTACTTTTTAATATTAAAAAAAATCAATAAATTTTAAAGAAAGCTATTTTTCTTTCAATAAAAATTGAAATGTATTCTAAAACATTTAAAAGTGGTCACGAAGAGACTTCACTTCCGTGCTCATTTGTTTATTCGGTTTATGGTTTTCTATTGTCAATTTTTTTATTATCCATCTTGTTTGTTCATTTATTAAAAAGTATCTGTCAACTTATACACAACGAATATGTGGCGTAAAATTATTTTTAGTAACGAAATAATTGCTAATGCAATAATTTCTTTGTATAATACTAAAAATCCTCGACTTTTAATTAATGAACTCTTAAAACTGTCAAAAAAATTAAAATCGTCACAAATATTTGATATTTGTAAAATAATTTTACCGATTTCATCGACTGACAAAACAATTTTAAAATATTTAAATAAATGCTGGTTTCATTTACACACAAATAAAGATTTAATTTGTGCAATTATTGAAAAAAAAAAACATTGATAGTGCTAGTGAAATAAACAGTGAAGAAAATTTGGGAACCTCAAGTCTTTTACATAATGGTAATAATAAAATTGTTATTTTTATTTAAGCTAATTGAATTAGACTGTAGCGTATTCAATTAATCGCTTATGTATAAATTTTTAATATTTTGTGAGGTGATAATTGAGAATTTTAAATTTAATTTTTGAAAGCACGATCAATTTTACAAAATTATCCATTTAATTTTTTTACAGTTTACAAAAATTATTGAGTATTTAAACGTTATTTTTTCTTTGTCCAATATTAGGCCAGGGAGATGGGAGCAAAGTGTGTTACCTCAATAATTTTTTTTAAAAAAATTTTTTTCTTTTACAAGCTCTTAAAAGATAAAAAAATGTATCTCAATGTCATTTTATGCTATATGAGATAAATTTTTTTTTTTTTTGTAAAAAATTCCATCATTTCTATCGATTAGTTGAAATTTTTAGTAAGGATTATATATTAAACTTGTGTTTTTATCGCATTATAAAGTCTATGATAATTACATACTCAATATGTAAGATTTTTATAATTCACCATGTAAAAATAAGATATTAAGTTCTATAAATTTCGAAGTTGGTTTTTCCGTGTAGTATCAAAATAAAAAAAAAAAAAACAGAAAATATACGAGTACTGCAATTATTTACAAGTTCTCAAGGTGATTGGACTTTTGATTCTGATTATTCTGATATTATTTAAAGACAAATCAGGCACTTATTTCCATTTTCAGGATGTATGGTTGTCGACTATAACAACCTATCTAAATACTTGTCAAAGGATATTAATCGATTACTTTAGAATTTCCTACCATGTCTTTCCGATTTGCTTTTGTGATCACTTTCCTTAATTTTTTCTATTTATCATGAATACCTATTGCCATAACTCAGTGTCTAATTCATTTAGCTTAGATAAATAAGCTATATCATTAATTAAAACAAATGATACTGAAATCAGCAGATATCTGATCGTTTTGGGTTTGTTTTAGCGAATAAATTAATACTGAAAAAACATTTAAAAAAATTTGCGTCCATAGAATTAAAAATTTTGACATGTTGAATTTTTATCTTTAATTTTCGTCTCAGTAATTGGTTCGTAAAAAAATTAATTGAATTCTATTAATTTTCATAATAGTTAAAAACACCAGGTATCCGATAATTTTTCAGGTGTTTATAAAATGAATCAATCATTATGTAAAAAATTTTTTTTTAAATTTGCGAATAATTTATTTTTTAGTTTTTATATGTGCACATAAATTCCATGGAATTTTTATATTAAATGTTCATTATAATAACAACAGTTTTATAATAATTAAAAAAATGATCAGATATATGTTTATTCCAGTGCTATTTTGTAAAAAAAAGTTATAAAAAAAATTATTCGAGCAATTTGTTAGATTCTTACACAGAGAAAAGATATGTATCAAAAGTTCTAAACGTTGCTCCGCCAACGAAATAAAAAAAATATTATAATATCTTATTCTTTGCCTTATGTCAATCCACCGATTTATGTTCTTTTTAAGCAGCTGTTAGAAATACGACGAAAAATTAGAGAAGCTTTGGAAGCTAAGGAACTATCTTTTAGGCCTCCTTTAGCGTCGAAAGATAAAAAAAAATTGAAAAAATATCGTTAGTCTTACTTTAAGCTCTTATCGTAAAGATAGATTATTTTGACTTCTAACTATAATCCAAAAAAATCATGAAAGTATTAGAAGTTCCGAAACTACCCCTTAAACCTCCGTTAAGTCCGAACTAGTAAAAGTTTTTTTTGAAGCTATACAATACTAGATTAAAAACTTTTCGTTATTGTGTGAAGTGTTAAAATTTTTTTGTATAATATTATAAATTTTGGTGCGATAAATTATGACTTTAATAAAAATTTTCCGTTATCTAAATCTTAAATTTAGCGTGAAACTTCGGATAAATTATCAAATTTGGATTTGAATAATTTTTCATATCACTACAATTGCAACTAGTTTATATTATGTTGATCCAGTAAAATCGAGACAATTCTACTGATGTGACTGCATGGTTGCATGAAGAACCTAATTAATTCTTAGTCAAAGGTAGAAACTGTCAATTTCAAACGCGCAAAATAGCTTTTCTTTTTTGTAATTCTTATAATAAATCATCAATTTCACCGTTAAAAATATGTAACTGATCGTAAATTGTCTTGTTTTTTTCGACTGCAGACATTAAATTTTCTAATTTTAATACGAATGGTAAAAAAATATAGTTCAAGACATAGGTGAAAATAGAGTATTAGATAATGACAATGATCGTCGTAGCTTTTATCAAACAGTCAACAAACACTTACCCGTGTCTACACAGAAAGAAAAATTTCTTGACTGGAGAACAAAATTCTTGGCTCAAGTAAATTTTCGGTCGCCCGAAGGAAGACCGAAGTTGTGTTGGCCGAAGTAAAAATTTTTCTTGAAATTCTATTCTTGGTGGAAGTAATTTTTTCTTAATTCAAATTATCATAAATACTTGATGCAATAAATTTTTTTATTTGATCAAGATTTTTAGATACTTTAGGGAAGCAGTGCCACCTACTTCAGCTGAGAAAAAAATTATCTCATCGTGAGAAAATTTTTCTCTTGAATATTTGATACCCATTTTAGATCATTTTAGCGCGCAATTATACATATTGAATGAAAAAAAATGATTCAATATTATTTGATCTTTCCATTAGGCATGTTAGTCAATAGAAATATTAATGAAAATTTACTATCATGATATTTAATTTTTTGGAGCAAGAGAAAAATTTTCTCAAGACAAGAAAATTTACTTCTGTCAAGAACTTAATTTTTTGGAGCAAGAGAGAAATTTTTTCAAAACAAGAAAAATTTTCTTGACTTAAATAAATTGTCTTGGATCAAGAAACGTATTTCTTGAAGCAAGAGAATTGATTTGTTGGAATAAGTGAAATTTCTTGTGTCAAAAAAAAATTTTTTTTTCGCCCAAGTAAATAATTATGAAGAAAAATATTTTCTTGGCTCAAGTGAACGTTTCTTTCTGTGTATAATCAATTAGTTTTATCCTTTGCGTTATAATATACTGTTGTACCTTAGTAAGGAACATTCTTCAACTTAAATTAATAGAAAAAAAAACTTTTTAAAAATTTTTTTTGCTAGTACAAGTTATTTTTATCTACTGTGTAAGCATCTAATGTATCTAAAGTAAAAATTGATATAAATTTTCCTATTCTGTTTCAATTTTACCGTGAACGGCAAAATTTATTACTTAAGTTAATTACTGTCGAAAAAAATTTCAATGAATTAAAATAATGCAGATATATTGTTCATAAATTTCAGTGCACTTATAAATAACTAAATTGATGTAATTTGAAAAAATTCTGCGTGATAGTATTTTCCACTAATCACCTGTCTTTGATCCACGCAAATGTTTATTATTTTTTAATTCAAGCAACGTAATATTTATCGTTCTGATTAAGTTACCTTTAATTCGCTTTCATGTTTATCTTCATTCAGCGCTAGCATATCAAACTTGAAGTAAAAAAAAAATTCGTCAGCAACTCCCTTGTGGAAATGTTGCTCCGGATAAAGTCTTTAAAACTCTTCAAAAGTCTTCATAAGACTTTCTGAAAGTCAACATAACCTTTGATAAGAAAAAGAAAGAGTTTTAAAGTCTTCATAACTCTTCGAAAACCTGCAAAAGTCAAATATACCCGAAAATTTCGGATTTTTCTCAAGAGTT